TTTGCAACATGCAACTGCATACTTTTTCTTGAAAGCAACTATGTGTTTTTTTTATACCAATTGATTCGTCTCATTATTTTATGCATAAAAGTATTAAGGTAAGATTCCCAAAAATTGAATGTTTTACAAGATATTTTGTATTTTATGTCAAAATACTATAATTTACAAGCCTCATAACTCGACAAGTACTTAATGAAAAATAACTTCATTATAGTGTTTTGAAAAGCTCTTGACACCAGCTATTAGATTTTGGAATCAAATATAGGGGTTTCCATTTTAAAAAATTACTCTGACCTTCAAATGACCTTGAAAATCAACTGCGAGGTCAAAGTCAAGGTCACCCTCAGTTGGCCCCCTTTTAATCCTACAACGTTTGTTAAGGTCATTTTTTGCTATCACTCTTATCTTCGGAGTAATTTGCGTGGATGTTTTATAATGGGACACCCTGTATATATATATAAAAACATCTATACGAGAAAGAGAATAAAAACAAAAAATTCAAAATAAAATTGTGCAATTCTGAACAAAAACTGTGTAATATTAAAAAGACCAGAATACCAGAAATAATGGAAACAAAATATGAAAGATATTTAAACATAATATTAAAGATATGAAAGATATTTTTGTATTTATTCCAATTTAAACAAAATATTAAAGATATTTAAATAAAATAATAAAGATATGTATTATTTTGGTCTATTTACGTTGACCAGAAGTATTCAGCCAGCGTTTTATGGAATCTTCAGCATTCTTTAACGATTGATTTTTGAAACAATCCCTTATGGCACCTAAATAGAAAAAATGAAAAAAATATAATCTTTTGGCTTTAAATTACCTTTCTGCATCTACTACTCATGTTTGATAAGTTATGTTAATAAATAAAATGTAAAAAAATAAAATATAATAAAATATTTTCTTTGCTTTTTTTAATAAAGAGGTATATATATATGTATCAATTGTAAATATTTATTAAATATAATATTTCAATTAAAATAATTGAATATTATATTATTACATTTTTCAACGAAAATATAATATTTGATCAAGATTTATAATTATGTATTAATATATGATTCGCGAGAAGAAAATGTTCGGCATATTTTATTAATGATCAGAGATCTGAATATCTTAAAAAAATAAGGAAAAATACTATAAACACTAAAGATATACTTACAAAACAAAGCCTCTTTAAGCCTTGTTCCATAAAAAGAGATTTTCACTCCTCCAGTTCCTTTCCAGCTAACTTGTCTTGCAAGCTCATTGTGCAATATAGTAGACATGAGACAACTAGCAGCATTCCACTGATCAGAATCATCAAGAATATGTCCGCTAAGATAACTGACCTTCAAAACATAAAGAAATAAATGCAAATATATATGAAAAGTTTATTGTAGAAGATAAATAAATATCCAAAGAAGTTAGCTGCACTTAATTAAGTCATTATCCTGAACATTATTGCTTTCAATATGTATAGCAGGTAAAAGATTACAGCGTGCTTCGTCTAATTCATTTAATACATTTTCTACCTCAATCAACTGATCTTCAATTTCAGCTTCACATAACCGTTTAGCATTGGCTTTAGAAGCCTCAGCATATTTTCTTTTCATAACTATATCTAATATATGGCCCAAAACAAAATATATATGAATATTATTATATGTATATAATTAAAAAATAATCCATTTAAAATTCCAGTTTGCTACTGTAAATTTTATTTGTAGTATAGATAAAAATAAGATATGGTAAAAAATGACGATTTTAATTTTAATTTTATCTACAACACTCAGTCTAGATGACCAAAAAAGAAAATAAAAAATTGGAATTCACTTACCTCTTTAGTCTGAAATTCTTTCGACATTTTGTTTTAACCTCACACTTTAACGTCTTCAATGTTGCTCACTTGTACTAGTCTAGAAAAGTCGAACACTGATACTTAACGAAATTTTCCACAATTAATGTTACGATGCAAATAATCTTCCAAAATTACAGAAAACAGAAACTCTGCTGTACGCGACAACGTCTTTTCCGATTACGACGCCGTAGCAGTGATACTATGATGTAGAGCACGTAGCACGCCGCGGAACATGAAACCGAACGCGCAAGTGCAGGTCTCGCTTTGTCTCGACTATGAACACAAAATTCTTAATCCTACATTTTTACAGACATTAAAACCACAGCAACTGACTTTACATAAATACCGAAATTCCCAAAAATTTAATGTTTTTATCGTTGTTCTATCTTGCTCGCTGATTTCGACTGACTGCGCAAGAAGCAGACCGTTTTCCCTTTCCATACTACAAGGTATCTTTCTCAATAAGTTAACTCTTGAAGATTATTATATCTGAATGGTCATACACACATTTTTCTGAATATTCTTATATCATACTTTTTTATGTCGAAAAAACATCATATTTTTAAAAATCAAAAAAGGCACAATAAAAAAGAAGTCAATATAAAGTCATTTTTAAGTCATTTGAGATCGAAATTTTTATTAAGACCAAAAAATGACGTAAATTCGGTCAATATGACATCATATTGATATTATTTTGACTTTTCTGTTCTCCTTGGGACAGTGTTAGATTTAAATTAATAAACTTAATATTACTAAATATTATAACTTAATATCAATAATATTAAATACATATTATTTTATACATAAAATTGCTAATATTATGTATAAATTATACACATGAACAAAATATTTAAAAAAGTATTGAATATTTTATTGTGCAGCATTCAGTTTTTTTATTTTTTAGTTGCATGACGAAGCCATGATTTAATTGGTTCCAAAATTTCGTGCTCGGTAGCTTGCGGGTATTTTAATTGAACTGCACCTACAAATACGTATAAACATTTATATAACATAAATATAAACATATACCTCTCAATATATTTTTAATTTTTTAAACCAGATGTTTAATGAATTAGATGGAAAGTTAATCTAATTTTTATAATTTAATAACTAAATCTAATGTATGTATTATATGTATATGCATTATGTATAGGTTTATTAGTGTAAATATCTATGTGTTTAAGTGTGTGTTTATGTGTTTGTATGTGTGGGTATATATATACGTAGTATACATTCACCCAGTCAGCAAAGTCTGTTCGAACAGATACAGGGTCGGATTAAGACTTCGACATGCCCCTAGGCACTAGTAAGTCTGGTGCCCCCTCTCCCTCTCTTGCACCAAACACATCGTTGATCAGAAATTAAATAATTTAATTTATTCATTCATTTTATTATTTTTTTTTATAATAACTATAGTTTGTTTTTAAAATAATATAATTTTTTAATATATTAATATCGCAAATGCGTTTCACAGGGTATTTATAGAGAAATTATGCTATTAAATAGAATTCGATATATCTTTTGAATAATGTAATTTTGCTAAAAATATGTGTAAATTTCAGGACACTAATATTCTAAAAATTTTTTAGAATTTGTCTGAGCATTTTAAAATAGAAAATCATTTATTAGCCACAGCTTTGCATTTTTTTTTAAAGTTATGTGTTATGGGTTATGGGTCTCTCTTAGTTTTGTTCCTCGATTTATAGAAGAGAATTTTGGAGTCATTGGAATCCAAGCTTCATCACCGCGTCAAGGTGGAAACCCGTCGATAAAGTTTCTTTTTTTGTTGTTTTAATGTTTTAAATTTTTTTGTGTTTTTATTTTTTTGTTGGGAAAATAACTAAGAAACTACTACTACTATATCTAAATACTACTACTATAACTAATGAACTTAGAAACATTCAGAACAATTATTAATTAAATAAAAATAAAAAATGCAATATGCTGCCTTTTCGTCAATTTAAATAAAAATTTTTTTCGCATTTTATTATTGATGAACTCATTAATAATATCATCAAAATTAAAACGCCTTAAAATGTCGGATTCTATACATAAAATTGATAACGCAGAAAGCCTATCCTGACCCATTGTAGTTTGCTGAGGCATTTTTAATCGTTTTAAATGAGAAAACGAACGTTCTGCAGAGCAATTGGTTATCATTAATGTAAGAAAAATTCAAAGGGCTACCTCTACATTTGGAAATACGCTTTGAACATTATCAGATAACAAGACATCATACACCCGGGGGTTGAGCCACCCACCGGGCGCGTCTCCAAAGTGACGGATAGGAGGACGCCCAGTAGGTGTGAGCCCTCTGAGAGGACTCAGTGCTGCTGGGTAGTGGCGGTTATAACCTGGCCCCACGAAAGTAAGACCCCGTGGAGGGTAAGGGAAAACCGTTGCCGCGGACCAGCTCCGCAAGCCAAGTTGTAAGCCATCGTGGCGATGGCTGCATGTCACTGGGGGAGCAGTGTCGCGAACGATGCCTCTGGGGAACCGGACGAAACCCCAGAGTATCCAGCCTTACCCACGCATGCGGGGCTCTGCGTGGGCGGACCGTGTAATTCCCTAGCTACTCGTGGAACCACAATGGAAATTAACAACCTAAACTCAGAAGACAAAGTGGGAGATCGGGAGGGCTCGCGTGACGGGTTTCCGAGGGAAGGGGCTGGGACGGCGGTGACGGACGGGACCCTTAAGGGCTCCGGAAGTGAAGCCGCTGCGCGGCAGGAGGCTTCACCTCCTTTTAAAAAGAACCGGTGCGGGCCGAAAGAAGGAGGGCGAAGCGGATGAGAGCAGAGGCTCCGGAAGGAGCTCGCTCTCTCCCCGTGGCTCCCTCTTGTACGCCGGTGGAGGTGGTGAAGGGGCACACCGACGGTAAACGTCGGAAGGGCTCCAATGAAACCCTTTCATCGGGCGGCCGCCCGTTGAAAAGGCAAAGGGCTCATGATGGGCACCATGCCTATGCGGACACTGCCGACCCTCTGGCGAGGGTGATTTAGGCGGAAGGCTACCCCGAGACAGAGATCACTGCAGAGCAGTTAACTCTGCTGAGGGGTGCGGTCTCGAAAGAGATCGACGGGATCCAAGAGGGTCCGGTGCCCAGATTCCACGGCACCTCTCTAAGGAGTGGGGCGGCGATGGTAAGATGCGCAGACGAAACGTCGCTGGGCTGGCTCGTGGAGCGGATCGGCGGCATCACTCCGTGGGAGAGCGCCAGGCTCAAGGTGGTGGGCAGTGGGCGCTTCAAAGGCAGCACAGGGCGGTGGTTTGGGTCCCGGGACCTGCCGAGGGCGCGGCCACGGTCTTGAAGCGGCTGAAAAGGCAGAACCCGGATCTTGTCACCGGAAACTGGAAGGTGTTCGCGGAGGGAGTAGGGGCCACCAAGGAAGGTGGGAATCTAGTTTTCGGCGTCCCGGAGTCTAGTGTCCTCAAATTGAGGACGCTGGACTTCAAACCATTCTTTGGGCTCGATAGAATTGCCTTTTGGGTAAGTGGGGCCCAAGGGGGGGGGGTAAGGGGGGATAAGGAGGAGCCCCCTAAAACGATCTCGTAGTTAAATGGCGGGATCGAGAGGGGTGGCCTTCACCCAGATTAATCTGCATCACAGCAAAGGGGCCTTGGCTGTTTTGGCCAGGCAACAAGCTGAGAAGCAAACACGCATATCACTGATGCAAGGACGTTGCGGCTGTAGAAGTGGATTTCACTGCTGACTCCGGTGACAGGAGGAAAATGGTCGTTTGCTCGGCCTACTTCTCGCATGACGAGGGGGAGGCAGTGCCGCCTGCACCGGTGATAAAACTGGCAGAATACTGCCAAGAGAAGCGGCTTCCTCTGATCATGGGATGTGACGCTAACGTGCATTACACTGTGTGGGGAAGCTCGGACACCAACGGAAGAGGAAGGAAAGTGTTGGAGTTCCTAGCATCCACGGAGATTCTCAACACGGGAGACGAGCCCACCTTCTGCACTATAACGAGAAGAGAAGTGCTCGACATCACTGTCTGTTCCAGGCAGTTGATACAGGAGGTAGTGGAATGGAGGGTCTCGACGGAGCCTTCGCTCTCGGACCACAGGCAGATCACCTTTAGGATAGATAAGGCTAAGGGGAAGGAGGTCAAATTTAGGAACCCGAAAAGAACCAAGTGGGACTCTTATAGGGAAGACCTGGCCAGTAGTCTCAGAGACTTCCCTAAAAGGCACGGGACAGAAGACGAACTGGAGACCTGTGTGGACTACTTGCAGAGGTCTCTGGTAAACTGCTACGAAAGTAATTGCCCCGAAAGGGCGGTTACAAATAGTAGAGGAACTTCCTGGTGGACCCCTGGACTGCAGGGTCTCAGAGTGGCGGCTCGCAGGGCCTGGAATAGAGCTAGGAACACGGGCCGCCAATCCGACTGGGAGCTCTATAGGAGGGCACAGAAAGAGTATAGAGACTCTGTGGTTAGGGCGAAACTGGAAAGCTGGAGGAAGTTTTGCGAGGAAGTGGAGGGAATGCCCGAAACGGCAAGAATCTGCAGGATCCTCGCTAGGAACCCGGATGCGACCCTGGAAGCCATCGCACTCCCTGATGGGACGGTGGTAACTGGAGAGCGATGTCTGGAGCATCTACTGGAAGTGATCTTTCCGGGCTTCCATAGGGAGCCGGGAGAGCTATTTGCATATAAGGAGCTGGGCTCACTCAGAAAAGCCCGACAAGCGGATTGGCGAATGGCGGCCAAAATTGTTATGCCCGAGAAGGTCAAATGGGCAATTAACACCTTTAAGCCCTACAAGTCAGCGGGACCGGATGGCGTCTTTCCGGCTCTTCTACAAGAGGGACTGGAACAGATCGTGGGCGCCCACTGACTCGAACCTTAAGAGCATGTATCGCGATGGGCTACACACCCAGCGCATGGAAACTGGCCAGGGTAGTGTTCATCCCAAAGGCGGGAAGAACGAGCTACACCAAGGCAAAGGACTTCAGGCCAATTAGCCTAACATCGTTTCTCCTTAAGACATTGGAGAAGCTGGTGGACGCGTATCTGAGGGAGACAACTCTGTGGAGGTATCCTCTCCATAAAAATCAGCACGCGTATCGTCCGGGCTATTCCACCGAGACTGCTCTACATTAGACGGTAGCGTTTATTGAGGAGCAGCTGGAAAGGAAGGGCTACACAGTGGGTGCTTTCTTGGACATAGAGGGCGCCTTTAACAACACACCGCACGAGGTAGTGTGTGAGGAAGCCGCCAGAAGAGGTGTCCCGATGAAGCTCGTCGAGTGGATCCGGGGCATGCTAGGAAGGCGTGTGATGACTTCGCTGGGAACTGCGAAGGTTTGTGGTTGGTTGGGAAGAGGCTGCCCGCGGGGCGGAGTACTTTCCCCACTTTTATGGTGCCTGGTAGCAGACGGATTATTAAAGGCACTGAACGATAGAGGCTTCACTGCACAAGGCTACGCGGATGACGTGGCAATACTTGTGCGAGGCCCCTTTCTAGAGACGCTTCTAGAGCTCATACAGGGGGCACTGGAAGTCGTAGAGGAGTGGTGTCAGAGGACGGGTTTAGCGGTGAATCCACTGAAAACACAAAACACAAACTGGTCTTACTGTCTTCACTCGTAAATACAAGGTGGACACCATTGTGGGACCCATTCTTGGAGGAGTAAGGTTAGTTCCGACCGAATCAGTGAAATATCTGGGAGTTATCTTGGATAGGAAACTGCTTTGGGAGGAGCACCTTCGTAGCCGGTGCAAAAGCTTGTGCCAGTATTTTTGTATGTGCAGAAGGACCTTTGCCAGACTTGGGGTTTGAAACCGAGTATGATACACTGGATCTACACAGCCATACTTCGCCCCTGACTCACATACGCAGCCGTAGTATGGTGGACTAGGGTGCGAAAGAAAACAGTCAAAGTTGCGCTGGAGCATGTCAGGGCTCTGATTTTGAGAGGGGCCCTGGGTGCTATGGTTACAACACCAGTGGCGGCGATGGGCGTAATGTTCGGCATCGAGCCATTTCACCAGGTAGTGGTGGCTGCTGCAGCAATGGCGGCATACCGTCTGAGATGCGAACTAAAATGGAAGAAGGGAGCCTGGCATACGAGGCTGCCAGAAGACGTTCTGTTGGATCCGATATTCGAGATGCGACAGGACAGAATACCTATTATTCGGGCTTCTGATAAGCGCTTTAAAGTGCATATACCGAGGCCGAAGGAGTGGAAAAGGAGGGAAAAAGAAGGTGGAAACTTAGGGGCTCGAGTGCGTGGAGGGGATGTCTGGTATACGAACGGCTCCAAGACGGACACGGGCTCCGGAGCCGGCTTCTTTGGCAATCGAGAGGGATGGAAGGAGAGCATTTCTCTCGACAGTTATGCCACGGTATTGCAAGCGGAGATTGTGGCTATCCTAAGCTGTGCTCAGACAGTGCGGAGTAGGGAAGAAGCGGGAGAGCACATCAGGATTTGTACGGACAGCCAGGCGGCCATCAAGGCGCTGGGGGCTCCGACAATAACATCGCGGTTGGTTCAGGAGTGCAGAGGCGTTCTGGACGAATTGGCGAAAGAAAGAGAAGTCATTGTACCTGGGTGCCTGGTCACTCAGGCATCCAGGGTAATGAATGTGCGGACCAGCTGGCAAGAGCGGGTTCAGAAATAACGATGGT